CCCTTTTTTTATTGGTGCTTGAATAAATGTTCATCTTCGAGTGTAACATTTCTATACACAAACATATATTTATTAATTGAATTGAAACTTACTTTTAACAAACCAACAACAACAACCACTGCCAACAAAAACATCGCAGTTTATAACTGTTTTGTTTAATAAACAAAATTAAAACATTTTAATTAATGGCAGGCAGCGCCACTCAAATCTCCAAACACAAAACAAGTTGTTGGCGTAGTTGGCATAGTTTGTGTGTGTTGGGAAAACTGAGAGAATGGCCTCTCAAACTATTCTCGCAAACAAAACGAAAACAGCAACAACAAAAAAGAAAACTATATAAAAACTGAAAGTTTCTCCAACAAATGAAAACAATTTCAAATGGGTCATAACAACACATTTATTTATGCCACCCAACAGCAACAACAACATCAGGAACAGCAATAGTAAAAACAACAACATTGGAAGCAGTTTCCACCATTATCCAGTTAATACATAAGCCTTAACGTGGTCATTAAAGAACTTCGTAAACAATTAAAAAAAAAAACAGAAAGTTCGGCATAAATGTTTCTTCCAGTCAGAGGAGGCTCTCCCCATTTCCCATCCTGCGCTACCGCCTTCTCATCCCTCGCATTGGCCATTTAGTTTCGTTTGAGTAATAATTAGAATGTTATCAAGTAACACCCATTTAAAACATTAATGAATTTTATTTTTATTGGAGAATGCTTTGGGGGGCCAAAGATTAAAGAAAAGCTGTCAAGGCACTATTTTAACCCATGTTGGGCCCACCAAGATAAAGGAAATTTGTTTACAACAATTACTGGCAAATGTAAGTCCTTCCTATACAACATTTTATTTTTTTTAAAAAATATTTCATATTTTTATGGCATATTGAGTTTGTTGGCCCTGAAGTTGGTGGGTTAATTTGTTGGGCCTTGCTTAGGCAGATGACATTTTTTTTTCTCTTTCAACAACCACACCAGCAATACTTACAACAACAACAGTTGACTGAACTTTCCATGTAAAGGAGCCACTATAAAAGTCACAAGTATAATTGTAATAGTTGCAGTGGACAGAATATTATCTTAAGTAGCTAAGCAGAATTTTCATCTCGAAGGACTATTTAATTAAATTTAATTTACATTGGTAAGATATTAGAGAAAAAAACATTTTAATCAAAAACTCAAAATTATGAGAGCTTAAAAAATAAAATGAGAAGAACGAAATTTAGAATCAACATGTAAAAATGTTCGCCGGGCCGAACTTTTAATTTTGAAACGAATTCTCCAATTTTCAAAAAAAAAAAAAAATCCTTAAAAAATCTGTTCAAATCTTAAAAATACAGAATATTGTCGTTATATTAGAGTCTATGCGACGACGTGGACCAGCATAGGCAACTTTTGTGATAAGCCATTACAATATTGAAATGCAAAACTTGAAAAAATCGGTGAATAATATAGCTAAAATCATCAAAATACCGAATATCGGGAGGTACCATTATATGGGGACGAAGGCGTGGACCTGCACAAACAATTTTCTGTCATAGGCTGTAATATCCCTTAAGAACTTAAAATACAAAATTTGAAATATTTTTGGTGAATAATGTCGCTTAAATCATCACAATACCGAAAGTCAGGACGTATCGTTATATGAGGGCTATACGAAGACGTGGACCTGCACAGCCAATTTTCTGTCATAGGCTGTAGTATCCATTACGAACTTCAAAAACCAAATTTAAAACAATTTCGGTGAATAATGTCGCTAAAATCATCAAAATACGAAATATGGGGAGGTATCGCTATATAGGTGCTATACGAAGGCGTGAACCGAGAGACAATTTTTTGTCATAGGCTGTAGTTTCCACTACGAACTTCTAATACCAAATTCGAAACAATGCCGGTGAATAATGTCGCTAAAATCATCAAAATACCGAATATCCGAAGGGTAGGATTATATGGGGACTACACGAAGGCGTGGACCTGCACAAACAATTTTCTGTCATAGGCTGTGGTATCCATTACGAACTTCAAATACCAATTTTGAAAAAAATTCCAGTAAATAATGTAGCTAAAATCATCAAAATACAGAATATAGGGAGTTACCATGGAGGTTATACCAAAACGTGGACCTGCACAGACAATTTTCTGTCAATTTCTGTCATAGTATCTATTACGACCTACAAATAAAAAATTTTAAACAATTCCGGTAAATAATGTAGCAAAAATCACCAAAATACCGAATATCAGGAGTTACCATGAGGGTTATACGAAGACGTCAACCTGCACAGACAATCTTCTGTCATAGGCTGTAGTATCCATTACAAACTTCAAATACCAAATTTGAAACCATTCCGGTGAATACTGTCGCTTAAATCAAAAAAAAAAATAAAATAAATAAATACCGAAAATAAGTTATATTTGGGCTATACCAAAACGTGGGCCTACATGGCTCATTCTCAATACCAAAAGTCCTTCAGACATAATATCTAAGTAAAATTTTATGACCCTACTTCATTTCGTTCGGAAGCTAGAGATATTCCCACAGGCGGACAGACGTACAGGCGGACAACGTTAAATCGACATAAAATGTTATGCTATGGTGGAGGGTATAAAAACTAAAACGATTATAAAATCCGAAATAAGCATCCGGTTCTCTTTATGTTAAACACATCTCATTATTTCTACTAACACTAGATCTGGATCGAAGATGAAATATATCGCTCCACTCCCTATGGCACCTCCCCCACAAAGGGTCAAAATTTTGATTATCCATGAAGCTCATAAAAAGCCATATTAACACCCGTTTCCATTCAAACTAGGCACATCTCAATATTTCCATCCACACAAGATTTGTTATAAATATGGAAGAGATTGGACAATTTCCTCTGGTATCTCTCCCACAAATGGTCAAAGTTTTGATTAACCAAAACGATCATAAAATCCGAAATAAGCATCCAGTTCTCTTCGTATTTCACACATTCCAATATTTCTACTAACACAAGATCTGCTGTGAAGATGGGATATGTCGGTCCACTCCTATTGGCACCTCTCCCACAAATGATCAAAATTGTCGAAATTTTCGAAATGAATTTCTCATTACATTCAGACTTGGTTCAACTCAATATTTCCATCGATACAAGATCTGTTATACAGATGGTAGAGATCGAACAATTCCTTCTGCTACCTCCTCTGCACAAAGGGTCAAAATTTTGAAAAGAAAAACGCCCATAAAACGCGCTGAAACAGATTTGGTCCAAAGAGACCTAGGGTCTAAAACCGTTATTTTGATGAGGCACGTTTTGACCGCCTTAAATAATATTTACCCTCTCTAGCCACATATCTGAGGTTATAAAAAAATTTTAGAGCAAAAATCGTACTTCATGTGAGTTTATGAAAAACTCTCCTACAAAACATTATTTATTATTTTTAATGGCGTCAGAGGAGGTCGAAGTCCAGAATGGAAACCTTTTCAGGGGACGAAGTAGACCAAACACAAATTGCATTATAGACTGGTAGATGGGAAATTTAACAAATGTTAGAGGTTAGAGAGGTGAAAGTAAACCAGTTTGGATACTGAGGAGATATATACAGGGTGAGATAAAATAACTGCAACAAAGTCAAACGTCATAATTTTTAGCGTCATATTTAAAAATAAGTTTAGATTTGTTCGAATTAGTCGCATTTTGTACGAATTATGACCTTCACACGGCCAATGAAACTGTCACACGCGGCCCGAGTGTTGCTCTCCGGTATTTTGGTCCATTCCGGGCGAAGCGCTTGCTTGAGGTGGTCCACACTTTGGTATTTTTTAGTGCCAACTTTGCTTTCAAAAATACTCCAGACACAATAATCCAACGGCTTAGTATCCGGAGATTTTGAAGGCCACTGTGCGCTGAAAATGAAGCGAGGAACCTCATTTTATATCCATTCTTGGGTTGTTCATGCTGAGTGCGAAAGTACTGAGTCCAGTGGGAATGTCCAAGGTCCGCGGCCAAAATGTTTGCGTGCCCAAGGTTTTATTTACACCCTCCTGAATATTTTCGTAATAATATTCGGCAATTATTTTGATTTCGATTAATACGAGTTGAGGGCGACCATCGGCTGTTATGGCGGCCAACACCATCATCATGGCCGGCGCTTAAGTTCTGATGGCCAACCGGCGGTGCTAATTTTCAGCTGACCTCTTTGGCAAGTAAACGCGATCATTTTGTTTGTGTACAAACTGCTGGACAACAAATGTTTTCTCATCGGAGAAAACCAAATTCGGCAGTTCATCACTCTCGGCCAAGCGAAGCAACTCTTTAGAGCTCTTTTGAGTCTATTTTCTTCATATTGCGGTGTAAGTTCTTGCACTTTTTCGAATTTTCAATGGCTTTACCCTGAGCTCATTTTTCAATATTTGCCAAATGAAATATTACGATGTGTTCAGCTCACAAGCCATTTTTCGGCCACTGCGACACGGGTTTCGATCAAGTCGCTTTTTTTATTTTTCGAACCATTTCTGCTGATGTTGCTGTTTTCTTCTGTCCAATTCCTTGACTTTGGGCTACGCTACCAGTATCACGGTAGCGAGCGATGCTACGAGACACAAAAGATTTATTCACATTTAAATGTTGGAGTTGTCTAACTATAGCCACTTGTGGTTTTCCAGCCAAATATAAGGAAATCACACTATCCCGCTTGAATTCCATCACGAATAACTTTTTTTCTGGATAATTCTCACCAAAATGCTTTTGTATATTTGTAAACAATATAATGAGCTGTCACTGGAATAATTTTAACAGCTGTCGGCCGAGTGGTTTAGAAATGACAGCAGTCTGAAGTTGGTTGCATTGTTTTTATCTCACCCTGTAGTCTACGAATAATTGCAAAAATTCTCCTCTGAACTGAATCGATATGATTCTCAAATGAAAGTTTTTCGTGAACCAAAGTACCCAACATTCTAAGACAGCGTACAAAACCATCGAGAGCAATATTAATAGATATTAATTTTTTCAGTCCACAATGTTCGATTTTCTCAAAGCCTCAATGCCGATAGCGAAAAGTTTCATGTTGGTGCCTCGGGCATGTGGTCGTCTCTGTGGTGTTTGGCCTGATCCCGAGTATAGATGGAGAAATACACTATTTGTGATATTCAGCACCGTTGTAACATTATTTGGTGGAGTGGGAGAATTATCCTACGGGTTTACACATCTAAACGATCTGGTTGATGCCCTGGATGCCTTTTGTCCGGCTGTGACGAAAATTATCTCATTCTTTAAGGCAACCATCATTTTTATCAACCGTAAGAAATTTTATGATATTATGCAGCGTCTGAGGACTCTCATTATGAGAGGTGAGTAGGGAGCAAATTGGAAGAAATTTACAATTTTGATTAAATATTTTTATTTTACTTTGTTTTTCATTGGGTTTTTTTTACAGAACAACATGATTCGAAGAAAATGAAAATGGTCCAGGGATTTTCTTCGTTTGGCAACATTTGCACCTTCATCATTGTTTCGGGAGGTTCATCAACGAACGTTTTCTACAATTTAAGGGCAATAATTACAAATATCATTTATCACTTTCAAGAGGAGGAAAGGAAACTGGAATTTCCTTTTAAGTCACTGTAAGTAAGACAAATAATCGGAACAAAAATATTTTTTAAATAACTTACTCATCGTTCAATTTTCTCTTCACACGCATATTTTTCAGTGTACCGGAATTCACAACCAGATTTCCATACTTTCCTGGTATGTTTTTAATCCTGACTGCATCCGGTGTAATGACTGTATTTTCATTCAGCATTGTCGACGGGTATTATGTGTGTACCACCGTCTTCATATGTTCAATTTTCAAAATTATACAACAGGATATTGGCAGTATATTTGATGAATTGAAAGATTGTAAGTATAATTATTATTCTAAAGGAATTAAAAAATAAGTAATTAATTTTGGCCGGGCCGAACTTTCGATACCCTCTATTGTTTGATAAGAAATAATTTTAAGAAATTGTTTATAGGTGCCAAAATTTCAGTATTCGAGAGCTATAGTTATATCTGATATTACCAACATTTAATTAAAAATTTCAAACTATTATATTGAAAAGTGGGCTAAAATTTCAATGAAGAGGTACAGGCAGAGAGGCAGAGAGGTACAGGCTGCTGGTCCTTGGAAAAATATTCTTTAAAAAATCCACGTTCTCAAGATCCTTCGAAAAATATTTTTTAAAAAATCCACGTTCTCAAGATCCTTCGAAAAATATTTTTTAAAAAATCCACGTTCCCAAGATCCTTCGAAAAATATTTTTTTAAAAATCCACGTTCTCAAGATCCTTCGAAAAATATTTTTTAAAAAATCCACGTTCTCAAGATCCTTCGAAAAATATTTTTTAAAAAATCCACGTTCTCAAGATCCTTCGAAAAATATTCTTTAAAAAATCCACGTTCTCAAGATCCTTCGAAAAATATTCTTTAAAAAATCCACGTTCTCAAGATCCTTAAAAAAATGTTCTTTAAAAAATCCACGTTCTCTAGATCCATCAAAAAATATTCTTTAAAAAATCCACGTTCTCTAGAACATCAAAAAATATTCTTTAAAAAATCCACGTTCTCTAGATCCTTCAAAAATATTCTTTAAAAAATCCACGTTCTCTAGATCCTTCGAAAAATATTCTTTAAAAGTCCACGTTCTCTAGATCCTTCAAAAAATATTCTTTAAAAAATCTACGTTCTCTAGATCCTTCAAAAAATATTCTTTAAAAAATCCACGTTCTCTAGATCCTTCAAAAAATATTTTTTTAAAAAATCCACGTTCTTTAGATCCTTCAAAAAATATTCTTTAAAAAATCCACGTTCTCTAGATCCTTCAAAAAGTATTCTTTAAAAAATCCACGTTCTCTAGATCCTTCAAAAAAATCCACGCTTCTGTTGGTCCTTTTCAAAAATATTCTTTAAAAAATCCACGCTTCTGTTGGTCCTTTTCAAAAATATTCTTTAAAAAATCTATGCTTCTGTTGGTCCTTTTCAAAAATATTCTTTAAAAAATCCTCGCTTCTGTTGGTCGTTGAAAAAATATTCTTTAAAAAATCCACGCTTCTGTTGGTCCTTTTAAAAAATATTCTTTAAAAAATCCTCGCTTCTGTTGGTCGTTGAAAAAATATTCTTTAAAAAATCCACGCTTCTGTTGGTCCTTTTAAAAAATATTCTTTAAAAAATCCACGTTCTCAAGATCCTTAAAAAATTTTTCTTTAAAAAATCCACGCTCTCGAGATCCATCAAAAAATATTCTTTAAAAAATCCACGCTTCTGTTGGTCCTTTTAAAAAATATTCTTTAAAAAATCCACGTTCTCAAGATCCTTAAAAAAATTTTCTTTAAAAAATCCACGCTCTCGAGATCCATCAAAAAATATTCTTTAAAAAATCCACGTTCTCTAGAACATCAAAAAATATTCTTTAAAAAATCCACGCTCTCGAGATCCATCAAAAAATATTCTTTAAAAAATCCACGTTCTCTAGAACATCAAAAAATATTCTTTAAAAAATCCACACTCTCGAGATCCATCAAAAAATATTCTTTAAAAAATCCACATTCTCTAGAACATCAAAAAATATTCTTTAAAAAATCCACGTTCTCTAGAACATCAAAAAATATTCTATTGTAAATTGATGACTCCGAGGAATACAATTGTAAACGCCAACTTTTTATGTGTAGATGAATGAAAATTTATTAAGAGACTGACAATAAAATGTATGAAAATATTTTCTTGAACATACAGAAAATCTAGGATTACTATGTTATAATATAAAACAATCACATACAGTAGAAATGTATAAAGTATTATTTTGACATTTACAACACTTCCCCTCAAAAAATACTTAATACATTTAAATATCAATATTAACTAATCCTAATTTATTAATACATTTTTCGTGATTTGGTTTAGCTAAACATTTCGTCAAAACATCCGCAGGCATCTCTTCAGTAGGTAAATATTTGACTTCAATAACGTTCTCTATAACATTCTGCCTAACAAAATGATGTCTGACGTCCATGTGTTTAGTTCTGTTGTGAAATACAGGATTTTTGCTTAACATTCCGGCACCTTGATTGTCATTGAAAATTGTTGTTGTTTGTTGTTCACCAAATATTTCAGCCAAAAATCTTCGAATATGAATTGCTTCTTTTGTACAATCTGAGAGAGACATATATTCCGCCTCGGTGCTTGACATCGCTACAGTTCTTTGTTTGCGTGAATCCCAACTTATTACTGCATTTGCTAATTTGAATGCATAACCAGTATATGATCTCCGATCGTCTACATTTGACCCCCAGTCTGCGTCTGCGTATCCTACTAGCGATTCATTCGCTCTTTTGAATTTCAACGCATAGTTTTCAGTTCCCTTTAGGTAGCGTAGAACTCTTTTTCCAGCAATCCAATGTTGTTTCCCATAGTTAGTATTATATTGGCTAAGAACGCTAACTGCATGGGCGATATCTGGTCTAGTTGATGTTGCAAGATACATTAGAGAACCTACAAGATTTTGGTACGGTAGGTTTTGCAACTCTGCTTTCTCTTCTTCCGTTTTTGGGCTCATGTTCAAGGATAGTTTAATACTGCAATTTAATGGGGTACTTACAGGTTTGCAATCGCTCATTTTAAACCGCTTAAGAATGGTCTGCACGTACTTTTGCTGAGACATCGTTATTTCTTTTGAATCTGGATCTTGTTGAAATTCTATTCCAAGACATAAATTTAAACGACCTAAGTCTTTTATCTCAAATGATTTCGCCAATTCTGTTTTCAATTCATGACATTTACTCTTGTCATTTGTAGCCACTATTAAATCGTCAACATAAATTGCTACAAGCGTGATATTTTTTCCATCCTTTGACAAATATATGCAGGGATCTGAATCCAAGGGCTTTAGTTTTAACTGCTTCAGTTTTTCATCTAACTTCTTATACCACTGCCGGCCAGATTGCTTCAGGCCATATATAGCCTTGTTCAACAGAAACACTTTCTCACCTCTATATGTTTTCATTTCTGATTCTTCCAATATATGCTTTAAATCGTCTGGTATTTTACGAAATCTAATTGGAAAACATCAAGTTTTAATTCAGCAGCAATTGCCATCACTAAGCGAATAGACGACATTCTGGCAACTGGAGCAAAAGTTTCATTAAAATCCACACCGGGTGTTTGTGTAAAACCTCTTGCTACGAGACGCGCTTTGTAGCGATCAACGACTCCATTTGATCCTTGTTTCTTTCTTAGTATCCATTTTGCATCAATGATTTTCTTACCCTTTGGGCGGTCAACTACTTTCCATGTACCATTCTTCAGCAGTGCTTCATATTCATTTCTCATAGCATTTTTCCACTCTTCAGATTCATAACTTTGAATAGCTTCGTTTACTGTCATTGGATCATTTTCGTTTATCAAATAAGCCATATTTATTTCCGGCGTTTCATCTCCTTGAAATTCGTGAAAAATTTTTCTTGGTCTTCCCCTATTTCCTGTAAGAAATTTCTTCGGACGTCCAGGTCCTCGTTTCGTGGCTATTGGCGTATGAAACTCCTCCATTGCGTCATCACCTTCAGCTACTTTTTCTTGTTTATTTCTATCGTTATTCACTTCATCTTGTGACTCTTCTTCTTCACTAATCACCTTTTCTTCAGCTTTGTCTTCAAAACGAGATTCTTGCGGAAGTATCAGAATATCGTCTCCTTGTTTCAACTCATCGTCAATAAAATCACAGTAATTGTTTTCAGATTCGTACAAATTTGTAAACTTCACATCTCGTGAACACAATACCTTCCGACATTGAGGATCCCATAATCTGTATGCCTTCGACTTTACAGAGTAACCAATAAATACACATTTCTTTGATTTGGCTTCAAATTTTCCGTGTCGCTTTGATTTTTCTAACATATAAGCTGTTTGGCCAAATTTTTGAAAATAACTCACCACAGGCTTCCGGTTCGTCCACAATTTAAATGGAACTTCTCCACCTAGGCTTCTTGAAGGACATCTATTTCGTATATGATTCGCAGTACACACAGCTTCTGCCCAGAAACTAGGAGCTAAACCAGATTGAATCATCATACAGCGGGCCATCTCGACTAATGTTCGATTCTTTCGCTCAGCTACCCCATTTTGCTGCGGAGTATACTCAACCGTAAATTCATGTTTTATACCTTCCTTCTTCAAATAATTCTTGAATTCATTATTGGTATATTCTGTCCCGTTGTCCGATCTTAATGCCTTTATCTTTCGCCCTGTTCGTTTTTCAACCATTTTCTGGTATTCCTTGAACATTTCCAACACTTCGGACTTCTTCTTCAAAAAATATATTTCGCACCATCTAGACTTGTCGTCAATGCACGTCAAAAAATAACGACTTCCTCCAAGAGAACTTACCCTCATTGGGCCACATACATCGGTATGTATTAGCTCCAATAATTCTGACGAGTTTGTTGTTGATCTGTTATATGGGGCTTGGGCATGCTTCCCCTTAATGCAAGTCTCACATACCTGTAATTTCACATTAGTATTGAAATTTACACCAGTTACTTTCTTATTCCGAATAATATCTTTCAAATCGTTTTCATTAAGATGGCCAAAACGTTCATGCCATTCCTTTAAGCATGTCCATTGAACTGATCTGCAATTTTCTTCAAGCCTCTCCTCAACATAATATAAGTTTTGGTTCCTTACCGCTGTTAACAAGGTTTCCTTCGTTTTTGGATTTACTACTACAGCCTTATCCTTGAAGAAAGTCACTTGAAAACCTCTATCCGTCATTTTTGCAACAGACAACAAATTTGACCGTAGATCCGGCACATACAAAGTATTCTCTAGTCTTGCGATACAACCACTTTTTGATTTTAATTTCACAATTC